CATTTTCATTCACTTTTTTCATAAACAGTGGCTATAAAATATTTACCCTTGCACTTACACTATTTACCCTTCTCTTACCTGAGTGGATCACATCAATGACAGCTGTAGCCCTAATCTTTTCTAGGTCCTTGAGATAAGCTCGTGCGTGCCCTCGGTATGCATTTGGGGAGTAAATGCACTCTGTAGAAAAGTAGTCTAATTTCTTGAAGTAGGCATACATCACAATCTCCTTTTCATAGGTGTACTTGAAAGGTTTTGACCTTGCAATAGTGTCTTCATTACCCTGTAAAACCAGAAAATATAGGAAAAAATTGGTTAAACAATTTACCCTTTTGTAATATAAAGATATGTTAATATACATAAGTATATACATATATACACAAACATACATATATACATGTGTGTACATACACACATATATATATCCATGTACACATATACATATAGATATATAAATACATATACATATACACATACATACATACATGTACACGTAACGTATATGTACACATAGTACACATACACATAATACATGTACAGTACACATACATGTACACATACATATATACATACACGTACACCCACCCACACCCTTACCCACACCCACTCCCACACCCCCATCCAGATAAAATAGGCAGAGACAAAGATGGAGAGACAAACACAAAGGGAGAGACAGAGAGAGAGAGAGAGACAGAAAAAAAGAAATGGAGAAAAAAAAGTAGAAAAGCAGCACCACAATCAACACTTACAGTAACAATGGCAGTGCACCTCTGAAGCCTGGCAATGTCTCCTCGTAGAATATTCATCAAGACCGTTTCTGCTATATCATCAGCATTGTGCCCTGTTACAATCTTGTCTACCTTTAACAGGGTTGCCCCACGGTCGAGTGCCTGCCTCCTGAACACACCACAAAATGTGCAGTTGTTCTTGCGTCCAACCTAAAATAATTGAATGGATGGGATTTGTGAAGACAATCATGTTGCTTGACACAGTTGGTATTCACAAATTACTGATAGTACATCACAAGTAACATCACTAAAATGGTTTGTGTCTAATGATGTACTCTTATCTAACAAAATCAGTATGCTGGATGTTGATTATTCTGTATTTTTCAACATGCCTGTGACAATTTTTTTCTTACATTTTGCATATCCAGAACAATGACAAAATATGTTAAACAATTATTTCATATACATAAGTAGATAAAAATAAAAGAAAATAGAAGCATACATATATGCATAGACAGATAGATGTTCAGATACATACATGAGTAATACCTAAAATAAAATATCAGGAAATAATTCTTATTACAACAATAAAAAATAAGCAAGCAAAACACACACTTAACCAAAATAAAACATCTACTGAACTGATATCGACTTGAAATATAATGAAAAATGTATAAGTATGTTACTTCTTGACCACAAACACTATCCAAAAGGTTTCTTACCTTTTCAACTATGCGGTCCATTGTCCATCCATAGAGCTCCTCATACGACATAATCTTGAGAGGGATTCCATACTGCTGCTCATTCCGCTTAACTGTCTCTAAACTGTCATCTCGGTAGCCTGTAAAAATAGATTTAAAAAATAAAGTTAATCAGACTACAAAACACAAAACTGGTTTCAAAAAGATAGTAGCAGGATGTGATATTCAAGGTAAACGTTGATTACCTGACACTGTAACTTATTTTGAATATGTACTTTTGATATTTTATGAATCAGTTAAAAAAAAATGGTTGCTCAAAGTAAAAACAGTTAACAAAATATACTTTAAATATTTACATGATGTGGTATGCTGGCCATGTATCAAATCGTAAACTACTGCATAAAAGTTCAGTGACTCACCTGTAATACCCTCATCAATAGACAGGAGAACTAACTTCAGTCCATAATCATAGCGCTCATTTAATAACTTCATAACATATGCCAGAACAGTTGAATCTTTTCCTCCTGAAACAACAAAAAAATTAATATGCTTGCTGACTAGTAAAATATACAGTGTTAAGATTTAACACTAAAATTCATAATCTATGGAAAGTACTTACAGAATTTAAGGGCATAAAGAAATCTTAAATAGCCACTTTCCTCCCAACTGGATAGTCATCGACATTGTAAATCCTTTTCTTAAAAAAATAGGAAAGAAAGAAATGAGGTTTACTTCTTGCGGCTGTTAAAATCACTTTGCTGATCCCAAGGGTATTGCATTGGGTGTAAAGAGAGAAATTGCTATTCTTGTTCTTCTCTTTCTGCAATAAGCACTATTGAAATATAATTTATGGTTAAAAACAATGACATTTTCTTGCTGATTAAAACAATAATAATTAAGTAATTACCATAACTCTTATTAACATACTTGGATTTTGATGCTGATGCCTATTCCTCAAAAACTGTGAATCTAATTACATTTACCTGAGGCTGCAATGGCTACATAGTCTCCTGGATTGAAGAGTTTTGCTGCTGTGATTGTGTGGTGAACTTCTTCTTCAAAGGCCCAGAAGAAGCATTCTTTACACAATGCATCACCTGTTTTGGGACGCTGCAAAGAGACAAAGGATACAATAATCAGTGACATCCATGAACTACATTCAACTGTAAAACACTAATTAGCACAAAACATCAAAAAACATTTAGAAAGAGTATAGAAATCAAAAACATCTACAAAATGTACCTTTAACACGGCATTTTTCCCACAACCCGTGTTGCAACTTATGACCATGGTTCCTTGCCACTCTGAAAAAAAGTACATGTTCATACTATGGGACAGAAGTATAATTGTAATTTTTTTATTTTCTAATAATTGCACAAAAAACATTTTGAGGCTTCCTTTGGTAAAATAAGATACATTTCCTTTTCACCCTCTTCAGTTACATAATAATTTGGAGTATACATCTATCTGGTACAAACCATAGTTTATAGTTTAGTCTATATCTGAGAGAGAGAATAAAGTTTTGAGAAATAGGTAACATTGGAAAACAATATATGAATGGCAAGATAAAGCTAAACTCCCAGGCTAGAATATACAGATAGCTTATACAAACTAGTATACTATTTAGTTTATACCTGAGAAAAAATAAAGAATTGAGAAACAAGTTACACTGGAAAACACTATATAAAAGGCAAGAGAAAACTGAAAACTCTGGAGCAACAAGTAAACTTGGGTTGTGAGCGGCACTTTCTGCAATCTTTTCCTTTAATTTGCGGTATTACCAAATGTGTCTCCAGATTATCCCCATTGACCCGGGTGATGTGCCAATTAAGGTCAGGGGACACAAAGTTGCTGTCAAGAATGAAAGCTACAGTGACGGAAAAGGCTTGCCACAAGCGCACAATCCTCTTGGAGGGTAATTAGACTCGCTTGGCATTTAGAAAGGGGCTTTTGCATTATGTCAATCAATTAATGTGTGGTGTGTAATGTCTGTATGCCATAACTGGAAGAGAGCCTGCTCCAGAGAGGAAACCATTTCTATGCTCAGCATTATATTCCTGGCTGCCATGACCAGCAGCACAGGTTGAATTTCAGAAAATTGAAAATTATTTTAAAAATAAGGTATGATTCAAAAAACAAAATGGATATGGAGTCTGTGCAAAGAAAACAGGGTAAATTATGCAATAATTCTGCAGGAAAATAGAGAGCTAGAGGAATCCAATGATAGCAAAATCGTCACGATCTAATCGGCAGAAATATTGCTTAAAATTACTGAAAACAGTTTTCTACCATTAGAATAAAGCAAATTAAGAGACAATTATTGGCATTGGAAAAGGGCAAAAAAAATAAATATATTTACATAAAATAACAATCATTTTTAAGTTACAGTTGAAGTACATAGTAGATAAGTTTCTCACCATCACTCGCTCTATCTTTTGCATATATTTTTCATCTAAAAGGCGGCTGTATGAAGCTTAACCTGTACCAATTAACCTATGCTTCAAATTTTCAATTATTTTTTCATGCAATTTCCACACCTGGATGCCCTTCTTAAAGCCACCCCAAATATGTTCTTTGCCTTGACCTACGACTAGTACTGCGCAATTATATCTACACATTTTCCTAAACTCTCAGTTCAAAAATACATATGTAGGGAGTACCAAATTATGCTTAAGTACTAATGAGAACAAATATGGGTGTACTGATACATGGTAGCATGTGTTCCATAATTTCCTTTAAATTCCATATCCAATCATACCAGTTTAAAAAATAATACGCATTTAGGCCTACCTACGATTTTATTAGAAACAAGTCAATTAACTTGATTACTGCAGAGAATTTTGAAAGTTGGTGCTGAATGAAGGAAGTGTTAGCCTCTTCTGCAATGTGTTGTAACTTCCCGACATCTGCTGAATAAGGAGATAAATACTTCGATATATTAAAAACTTCTTTGTACTCATCCATGTCTATTTTTCTCATTTTGTATACTTGTCTTCTTTTTTTGCTATTGGTTAAAAGTCAAGAGTTTACAGTACCCCGAATTTGAATCTCGTTACGGATTATATTTCATTTGTGTGTTAATAACTTCAGCACTATTCGATTTGTTTATCTTCGCATCTGCTAAAAGTACGTCAATGTGTGGTACTGTAGTAATACATTTTCCCTATCAGAAAATATTTTGATTGTCATAAAGCCTTTAAAAGCTTTTCTTAAAAATAGATTTTATTGCAAGTAACGATTCATTGATAACTTTCCAACAAATCTATATTAATGAAATTCCCCCTCAAAATTATTTCGATACTTAAAAACATTTCGCTTAAAGATAATCCCAAATCTAATATTACTTTGTCGTTAGATCTCTGTGGTTAATTGTTTACTTCTGTATCTATTTTTTATCATATGAGGGAGCATGACAAGCAATGGACAGCTATATATGTATATAAATTTGATAATAAAAGTTATCCAATACTTCTTTATAAAGAGTTCAAGTATTCTTACAAAGACTTCGATTTCTCTAAAGTACAATCGTATCGTTTGTTACTTGTTTTCTTGACAGTAATAAATGTAAACACTTCGTCGTCTATACATTGAGGCCGAAAGCACCGTGAGTTGAGTTTGAGAGGAAAATACTACAAGTCGAAGAGATTATGGCGGCCAATTTTAAGGTGTTGACGGAAGATTCCCAATTCCAGACGGAGTTGAATCAGGCGGGGGGCAAGCTTGTGGTAGCTGATTTCACTTCGGCCAGGTGAGAAGTATGAGGAGAATAAAATGAATGTCATACTGGTAGGCCTACTCTTATTTTTGTTTGGTCTCGGTCTGTCATTTACTTCATTTTATTTTATTCCAGAAAAATAGTAGAAGTAATAAAAAATCTCTCACACATGGTATGAAGCAAGGTGTATATGGTTTGTAATAGATACAGGCAAGAAATTTCAAATTTAGTATAAAAACATGGCCTCTTAAACTTATTCTCAATGCTTTATACTATTAAGCGGTTGTTTGGTGTAAAGTCTGGCAAAGGTACTAATCTCCAACTTCAAAATATTTTCTTAAGATTTCAAAATAAATGTTATTTAGGAAATGTATTCAGTGAAGCTCAACTAAAACCTCTACTTTGCAGTACAATAGGGGATAAATTTACAGTTGGTGACAATCAGGATTTCAGCTAGGAAAAAAAAGGAAAAAAATGTTTGGAATGGTTACTTTGACATAAACTGAGACATTTTTCATCAACGGCAAAAGATGCGCAAATCATAAATAAAGGAGATACATGACAGAGAAGAGAGATCAACCCATTTTTCCTGTCCCTCGCCATGTTGACATCACTAAGGAAAACATTGCTATGACTGTATAACTCTTTGCTGCAATCTGTCAACTAGTTCATGTATTACTATGCACTTCTGAAAATAATTAGTTAAAAATTTTCAATTTTTGTTTTTCTTAATTCATGTGTTTTATGCACACTTTTATTCTTATTAAACTTCTTAAAAGTTATGTAAGGGCATACCCCCTCTTTGCCTAATCTATCATAACCTAATCAGGAGCATAAGCCCTTACATAACTTTGGAGGGTATAGCGAAATGGCAGCGAGGTGGAAATCATGAAATTTTCTTTACATCTAATTGGTAGTCACCATTACACTTTACACACATGGGACACAAACGGTATTCCATATCTTACGCCCAAGGAAGAAAGAATACCACGAACCCTTAAAAGATAGGTTGGGAACTCGTTAAGAGTCAGTCATTAAAAGCGATAATTGAGGGAAGGTCGGTGGTTATGAAAAGCCAAAATATATGTTATGTAGCTGATAGTGTAATATAAATTAATGTTTATGGGTGGATTATATATATGAGATTATAGTATAAAGTGAATGATACAATACAAAATAGAAAAAAATCCAATTTGACAATTTGTAAGAGATATGAAATACTAGTACTAGTTATTACAACAGTAATGGTAGCGATGTCACATGACCTACATGAGCAGTCTGAGGGAAGTTGCTTTGAAAGCTGCGTGTGGACGTGAATTATTTTTTTTACTTTGCCTGTTGCCACGTTTCACGCATAGGGACTTAGACGGTATGAGCGCGAGTGGACTCTGCCTTGACATGGTATTTGTCACAACCTATTTTTTTCATTTCTGACATTATTCTTTGCCTGTTTAAATCATATTATATACCAGTGAGTGTATTTTTTTACATGTCTTTTTGACAGTGCCCTTAGATTTTCCATATCATAACATGGTTATTAGATATTTATATACCTACATATTTCTTCAGAAATATGCATGGATTTTGTTTTGTTTTGTTTCGTTAGTTATGTTAGAATTCAAATATGTGTGAGAAAGAAAATTGGGTACAAACAAAAAGGATCACAGCTGTAACTGAAGATTGGTGTCACAGCGAGCATTTGCATGTTTTTGAACCTGGACTTCTTTAACGTGCTTTGATAGTTATTTATTTATTCTGTAGAAAAACTTGCACATGCACGTTTTTGACACCAGAATTTTTGATAGCTCTGGGGGAAGCCATTTCTTGACATTTACTAGAGAGAAATGTCTAATTTTCAGTGTTGTGTCAATTTCATGTAATTTTTTAAACAATAGTGGCTATGCACAAGAAATAGCATCAGTAACTATCACAGCTTGATATGTGAGCCCATTAAGTGCCCTAAATGCCAAGAAAAAGTGTTTAGAAACCAAGCAATCCAGACAGTAGACAGAAGTGAAGTAAAGCTTGGTGTTTCAAGATAATAAGGTATGTGGTTTAATCGTAATGAGCTGGACCTCTTCCCCCCTCAACCCTTCCCGCAGGCATTACTTGAAGGGCACACCTAGTCACAGCAAAGTTTGTTGAATAAAGTTTATAACATTGATTTAGTTTGGTTTATTGGTCAGAAGTATTTTACGATAACCACTGGCGGTTTGGATGTTGTGAATTCCCATAGATTTTACCAAAAGATGGTTGGATTCCTATAGAGTTTTTCCAAAGTTATTGTGCCAGTCTTTGGCTTTCAAAGATGGCGTGCACATCTGTAGTTTCATTAACCAATTTTAGGCCTTTTTTGTACTGGTTTTATGGATATTTGTTCTATATTTTTCTTATTTCAGCCTGTTTTACCTTGTCATTTCCTTGATATGCTTCATGCCTTCCACTGCTATTAGGTCGCAACACATCAAGATTGTCAGCGGTGATAGCAATGGAAATGATCATCAAATTCATTCTCATCACACAAGAATAAATCTGATGATATGAATGTTGTTTAGGAAGTCCCAATCATCATCATTGAAAAAATAACCCAATAGGGATTAGGATTGGTTGATAGGTCAGGTTAGCCCAACCATTTAAATTCTGCAAAGCAGAGGTTGTATATATGTCTGGTGATTTAGCTTCAAATAAAGAACCAATACAAGCTGTTTTGCAAGAGTGCATGTGGTGTAGGTTTGCTCAAGTTTGTAGCATGGAGGCTGTAGCATTGTCTGACACTGCAACACTCTCTGGTAAGATTGTAGACCAGGAAGAATCATATGTATAATTACAAGGAAAACTTCCATTTTGAATGTTACTTCTCTATATTTACCCTTTTCTCTATTGCTTATATTAGCTCTGTTCTGCCCAAAGCCACTGGGCAGAATGGAGGTGCAATCACTAACACCTTTGTGCCTTTGGTGCTCCAGAAAAGGCTAACATATGTTCCAGCAAGGCAGAGCTTGGATCCTGACCAGGATGAATCTGACTTTGGCCTTACTCTGAAGATTTTTCTCCTAAGATATTTTGTGCTCCATGTGCTAAGGCAATGCAGCCAAACACAACAGAAAGGGAAATGAGATGAAAAGGGAAAACATCAAATAATAAATAAATGTCTTTTGCATACCAGAGTGCAGCACCATTGCAGTGGCCTTTGCTTCTATGCCAAAGTGCTGCACCAGTGTCAATAGGGGCATTGCTTTGCACCAAATCCTTGTTCCCAAAAATTTCCTACCTCATGCTCTGCTCTGAAGATATGGGACCTCAGAATCATCCTGGGTTCCTGAATAGTAAAACTTGTTTTTACTTTTAGCATTATGATACGAACTGCATCTCATGTAGAACACTAGTGTTTTCCCATTATGATAATATTGACTGTATCTAAAGTTAAACACTAGTGATAAAAAATTACCAAGTAATGACAGATAAAAGTGTAATATGTTAGTGAAACTGACTTATTGTTGTAGACTGATACAAAACAAAACAAAACAAAACAAATCTGTTGTCTGGAGATGAACAAGCAGTACACAATACACAATACACAAGCATACTTTGGATGCTTGTGTATTTACATTGTCATTGTATATCTGTTTATTTATTAGCATTTTGATATTATTATTATTGTTATTATTGTTATTATCATTAGTATAATAGTATTTCCTTGGTCTATAATTTATATAAAAGCCAGCTTACAGGGTGCAGACCCAGAGACATTAAAAGCCAGAGTGAGTCAGCACTACGGGGATGGAGACAACGAGGAAATGGAGGACTCAGGGGTTCCTGGCCATGTAAGACATTTTCAGTGTTAGCAAGAAACATGTTATGACTTATACTGGCACATCATTACTGCTGATGTGCACCAACAATCCCACAATTATGTCCACTTTTTTATCCATGGTGAATGGGTTAATAACTCTATTCCAAAAAGTATCATTGCTTGTGTCACAATGTTTAGCATGGTTTTCTAACAATATTTTTCTGCATATTTATAGACCGACAAACAGATAGACACACACACAGACAGTTAGATAGACACACATACTCCCAGATACACTCACAAATACACGCACAGATACACACACAGATACACACACAGATACACACAGATACACACACACAGATACACACACAGATACACACACAGATACACACACAGATACATACACAGATACACACAGATACATACACAGATACACACAGATACACACACACACACACACACACACACACAGATACACACATACACAGATACACACATACACAGATACACACATACACAGATACACACATACACAGATACACACATACACAGATACACACATACACAGATACACACACACATACACACATACACACACACACACAGATACACACACACACAGATACACACACACACACACACACATACACACACACACACATACACACACACACACATACACACACACACACACACACACACACACACACACACACACACACACACACACACACACACACACACACACACACACACACACACACACACACACACACACACACACACACACACACACACACACACACACACACATACACACACACACACACACACACACCACACAACATACACACACATACACACACACACACACACACACACACACACACACACACACACACACACACACACACACACACACACACACACACACACACACACACACACACACACACACACACACACACACGTATATACTTCAAAAAAATGGAAAGAAAAATATAAGTATAAGTGAACCACAAACTGTGAATAGGTCAAGCAGGTCATATAAAAAAAAAATCTTCTTTTCTTTCTTTTTTTCTTAAGGGTATTGTGTACATCTTTACCATTTCCATTCCTTACCCTCCAACCAGATTGACCTCCTCCCCATGGTGAACAAAGCAGGCTGCGAGTGTCTCAACGAGAGTGATGACCACCCCTTCACACAGGCACTCAACTCAGCTGGGGGTTACCTGGAGTCAGACACAGATGAGCAGGTAGGCTCAGAAATCTTCATGGGTTTAGAAATATTTTAGCTGTTCAGTGTGATTGTATTTTTTGTATCTGTCATCTGGTAGATCAGTAGCTGATACAACTAGAAAGCAAGAGAAAAAAAGGATTCCTTGTTTAACCAAAGATTAACCCCTATAATCTGGGTGACATGACCATCGTGTCATGAAAATACTTGCTGTCATGAGCATTTCAGCTGAAGGCCAGAGTGACAGGAAAGACTCACCATGAGTGCACAAAGCTTTTGCAGGGTGATTATGATTATTTGGCATTTAGGGAAGGTCTTTTATTTCCATCAATAGACAAGTATGGAATGTGATGTCCATATGCCATGACTGGAAGAGCATCAGCTCCAGGGAGGATGCTATTTCCATGCTTAGGATGCTGTCCCTGGTTGCCATGACCAGAAAATTGAATACTATGAAAAAAGTAAAGCATTGTACCATCACCATGGCAGCAGCATCATACACATACCATAGTGGTTACAAGCCTTCAAATGTAGGTGTTGGCCAAGAACTATGCCTAATATTTTATCAGAGGAATTAATTTTTACAGTTTGCTTCTGCTATTTCCAGAACAATATATTTGAAGCAATTGCAAGTTACCACAAATGTAAGGAGAAAAAGAGATTATGGGAATGAAAAGGTTTTTCATATAAATCATAAATTGTCATAACACAAGCAATTTCTCTCATACTTTAGACTCGTTGACATAGAGAATATTTCATCAGTAATAAATAATTAGGAATCACAGGATATGCTATGCTTGACGCTCTGGCAAAGGCTTTTAACTTCTCTTTGCATATTGCAAGGTATTGGTATAATCTTACAAAATAAAATGTAAAGCTTGAACTGAAGCTTTATGAGACAGTGATTTCCTAGGGAGAGATCTACAAACTTTATCTTTCTCGGAACTATACATGAAATATTTTAATCTTGTGATGACCTTTTGTTTTGTGTTTGGTTTGTTTTAATAGAGCGTCAGGGTGTCAGAGTTGCCAACAGGAAGTGTGCATCATTGTTTTAGGGGCACTGTATGTGTCTTGGAGAAAATATTAAGCTTTCTAAAGATGATAGGGTAGATATACTGATATATAATGTTTCTTGTTGAAGATGCTTGAGTTTAAGCTTAGACTTTTTCAGGCTTAATACTTATTAGAGCCATTTGTGCAGATTAGGAATGCTGCACATGCTTTAGCAGTAGTTTATAAGCAGGGAACAGTGCAGTTCTTGGCCTTGGAGTAAGAATTCTCGACCAACTGAACCATTGCTTAAAACACTATTACTTATTATTGCACTGAGTTCTATACAATCTTGAGGGGTGATATGGAGTCAGTGCAAGGAAAACAACCTTCTAGATAAAGCAAAACAAATGACAAATATGGACATTGGAAAATGGCAAAAAAGCTAAAAATACTGATGCTGAAAAAAAGGGGAGACATGGAATCTTTGTCACTGCACACGAAGGTTTATTTGCACCCGTCCTATAAGCCACACACCTGACTGAGTGTCTGCTCACATAACCTAATGCTGGATTTTGGGCCACATGATGGTGGTGAAGCATTCACATTCAATGGGTTAATGATAACCTATGAAGAGAACAACAATTGTATTCCTCTTTTTGTCTCCCCCCAAACAGCTCATCCTCTACCTCTCCTTTAACCAAGCGGTGAAACTACACAGTATGAGAATCAAGGCCCCAGCTGACTGTGGTCCAAAAACGATAAAGGTTTTCATCAATCAGCCGCATACCATCGACTTCGACACTGCGGAGAGTGCCAATCCCATCCAGGAGATAACGTAATAGTGCTTTTGCAGTTTTTGAGGTCCTATCACACTACCACTTTTTCCATTAATTTTTAGGTTTCCATCTAAATTACAGGCTTTCCATAAGTATCGTTTGCAAATGGAACACCTCCCAGATGAAGATGGTTGCGACCGTTTCCGTCTGACTAATTTCCGTCTTGATATTGTGCTATGGAGGATCCATACAGTTAGAATTTTTTTTTTTTTTTTTTTTTTTTATTGATAAGTTAGATAGAATGAGTGAATGTAAACATAAGCTAATATTTTAGAACATTCATATATACAATATACATTATCATATTTCTATAAAAAAAGCATGATAAGTTTGAGAAGGTTTGCATGATTCCCAGGACCTCACTCCAATAGGGCGATGTTTGTATACATGGGCAATGTTTTCTGCCTTGATAGTGTGATAGGGTCAGTCCATTTCCATACAGAAAGTTCATTTGGAATTGCAAAATTTTATGGAAAATGTGCTAGTGTGAT